CCCAATCGTGCCCGCACCCCCCTCAGCGCCAACCCTCCTTGATCGCGTCCATTGCCCCCCTCGGTGCCGACAGTGCGCGCTCCCCCCCTCAGCACCGACCCTCCCGACCGTGCCCGCTCCCCTTCAGCACCGACCCTCCCAACTTCGCCCGCACCCTTCTCCTTCAGCACACTCCAAGCGCACCCAATCCCCCCGACAGTGCAGAGCTTGCTCCGAATGAGTCCTGGCTTCGCAAAGATTGAGGCGGTTTTTTAAGATCATTGCCCGGCTCTCAAATGATGAGGGCACAGCTGAAGAGCACAGTAAAAACCCGTGCCCAGTACATTGCCATGTCCTACTCACTGGCTCCGGGAGCTTCAGATCCAGGCTGGGAAGTGACGGCATGTTAACCACGGTCTTCCTCCTGATCCCACCGTAGCAGTACGTTCGAATGAGTCAAGTACTTCAAACTGACGTAGACCAGCCTGATTACACAGGGAGAACAGTGGCGTCGTGCAAATGAAAACACGAGCGAGAGGAACACAGACAGCACAGGAATGATGCACCGAGCGCAACACTCCCACTACACAGCCTCCGAGAGACAGACAGCCAGTGTCCAAAAGCCCCACAGAGTTTGCAATTAGGCTGCAATAAAAAAAGCTGGTGATATTGACCACGAGGTTGCCACATTGTTTTGAAAACCCATCGGGTACAGATGGGGAGGGTGATCTGCTGACCTGGACCACCAGTTGAGGTAAGGTGCTGACCCTTCAGACAGCGCGGTGCTCCCTCTGCACTGACCCCACCCCCGGACAGTGTGGCATGCCCTCAGTACTGACCACCTCCCCCTCCACCCTAGACAGCCCAGTGCGCTCTCAGCACCGTGACGGTCAGCCTGGATTATAGGCTCCAGGCGTCTGGAATGGAAATTCAAACACTGATTCTGTGGTCAAGAAGCTTCTCAGAATCACAGAATCCTCAGAGTGTGGAAGCAGGCCACACCGACCCTCCAAAGATCATCACACCCAGACCCACCCCCTACCCTATCCCTGTAACCCGGCATTTCCAATGGCCAATCCACCCCAACCTGCACCTCCCTGGGCACTACGGGACAATTTAGCACGGCCAATCCACCCTAACCTGCACATCCCTGGGCACTACGGGACAATTTAGCACGGCCAATCCACCCCAACCCGCACCTCCCTGGGCACCACGGGACAATTTAGCACAGCCAACTCACCCTAACCTGCACATCTTTGGACCGTGGGAGGAAACCGGAGCACCCGGAGGAAACCCACACAGACACGGGGAGAACGTGCAAACTCCACACAGACAGTCACATCGAGGTTGGGATTAAACCCGGTCCCTCGCGCTGTGGGACAGCGGTGCTAACCACTGAGTCACTGTGCCTTACAGCTGAGGGGGACTGCAGTTGTTTCCCAAAGCCCCACTGTACTGAAACGATATACATGCTCCTTTTTTTACACAAATGCTTGGAAAGGATATTTGGATTGACCTCTCCCTCCCAACCGTCGAGCCTTGAAGTTCGGGAAGACATCTCGCATGATCTTGCCAAAATTTGCAGCACTCAGGAGTCGGTAAGACAGATTGTCACAGTATCGCCTGGAAGAGAGAACAGGAATGGTCCATATTTATTACCACATCCCCATTCCCTCCTCATTCTCTTCATGCTACTGTTTGCTCACTGTGTGTACCACCGAAAGGAGAATCTAACTGTCGACCCCTTGACATTCCCCTGCATTCCCCCCCAACCCACTAACAATATCCTGGGGGTTACCATTAACCAGAAATTGACCTGCACCAGTCATAAACGCACAGCGGCTACAAGAGCGGGTCAGAGGCTGGGAATCCTGCAGCGAGTAACTCCTCTTCCGACCCCTAAAAGCCCTGTCCCACCATCGACAAGGCACAAGGCAAGAGTGTGAGGGAATACTCCCCACTTGCCCTGGATGGGGGCAGCTCCGACAAACACTCGAGAAGCTCAACACCGCCCAGGGATAAAGCACCACCCCCCCCCCTTGGATTGGCACCACATCCACAAGCACCTGCTCCCTCTGCCATCGATGCTCAGTCGCAGCAGTGTGTACCATCTACAGCGACTCCCCAAGGCTCCTTAGACAGCACCTTCCAAACCCGGGACCTCTACCCCCTAAAGGGGGCAAGGGCAGCAGATACAGGGGAACACCAGCCCCCTGCAACCCACCGTCCTCACACACACACACACCATCCCGACTTGGAAATATATCAGCCGTTCCTTCCCCGTTGTTGGATCCTGGAACTCCCTCCCTCACAGTATTGTGCCTACACCGCTGGGTGAGGGGGGGCGGGGGAGGGGGAGGTGCGTGCTGGGGGTGTGGGGGGAGGAGAGGTGGGTGTGGCAGGGTTGGGGGGAGAAGGAGAGAGGTGGGTGCGGCAGGGTTGGGGGGTGCAAGTGAGAGAGAGGGGTGAACGAGGTGGGACACAGAGGGAGAGTGGGAGATCTCCCCTTGTTCTGCCCCAATAACTCAACGACCTCAAAGATCAGAAACCTGCCTTGATATATATTCAGTGACCCAACCCCCACCGCTTTCTGGGCAAGAGAATTTTTTTTTTTTTTAAAATGGGCGTTGCTGGCTAGGCCAGCGTTTATTGCCCCATCCCTAATTGCCCCGAGGGCAGTTAAGAGTCAACCACATTGCTGTGGGTCTGGAGTCACATGTAGACCAGGCCAGGTAAGCTGGAGCAACACCACCCCGTATTTCACTTGGGCATTTTATAGACTCTTGGCTTCAACACGGATCTCCAGAGTGTCAGAGTAGGACCTCTGTCCCTTGTATGTCTCTCATGCTCAGACCCCACCACCACCCACAGCCTCATCTAGTCGACTTTGCTCTTATATGATCCAGACTTTAACCCAATCATTTACACCTCTTTAACATCTCAATCTCTCCTTTACCACTCCTTTGCCCTGGGCACCCTGACAAGCTGGTCAAATCCTCCCTCACCCCCCACGTTGTTTAAAATATTAGAACCACCATTTCTCAGCCACTTTTGGTTCCAAAGAAGAGTCATGTTGGGCTGGAAACGGTGTCTCTGGTCTCCTGGGACTTTCCCTGCCGTGTGAGGAGCGACTCACTTGTAGGCGTCGTACACGTCCTGCTTTGGCAGGCAGGTATCCGGATGCTCCTCCAGGTGGTTCCGGATCCAGTTGCAAGCGTGCATCTGGTCAGCCGTGCTCGAGGAGAACTGGTCACCACCCATGACGCCGGAGCTGAAAACCGAAGAACCATGACCGTGAGAGAGAGAGAGAGAGAGAGAGAGCGCGCGCGCGTGACAGACAAAGCGAGAGAGCGCGCGCGTGACAGACAAAGCGAGAGAGCGCG